CATGTATCTACGGTCATTTGTTTTAAAGTTACACCAAAAACCAATTTAGTATTTTGTGCTTAATGTTCACTACCGTAGACTAGTATTTAAGAATAACTGACAAAAACTAAATTATTTTACATGACTATAATGTCTGAAGTTAACGTTAAGGTATGGCCTAATAATTCCTGCTTAATTTAACGGTTCTGGGTGGGTGGGTGTTTGGTAAATTTTTACTAGTTTGCCACCCCATTTTAAATTGAGTTCGGCGCCACTGGTCTCATCCGGATGTGTTGTCTCCGTCTTACACACGTACCACATGGACAATTTTTGTTTGTTAGTTTCAACTGTCAGTTTCGATATTAAAGTGAATCGACCTAGGTACCTACTATCAAACTTTTAGGTAACAACATTATCTGTGTTCCCTCGTTGGTTTTTTACGATATTTCAATTTTTAAGTGAGTTATGAACATTTTAGAATATGATGAATAGGTACCTACTTTACATACCCATAATACTCACTTATAAAAATTAAAATCGGACATTCGGAAGTATGTGTAATTTACCACCACTTATTATTGGTCTTTAACGTACAAAAAATACGTATGTTGCGATCCCCTTAATTATTATTATCAACTTGGGGGGAAGGGTGCCAAAATATGGTTTCGCCCTGCAGGGCGCCAATATTTCTAGGGCCATCCCTGATTGTATATTTCATATTTTTTGTAATTATTTTAGATTCTGAGTGAAACGATGAATGTATTGATTTTACAATGATGTGTGTTTTTTTTTTTATTTTTTTTTTTATTTTTTTTTTTATTTTTTTATTTTTTTTTTTATTTTTGTGTCTGTCATCACGTTTTAGGACAGTAAAATGGCTTGGATTTTCTTCATCAGTAGCTTTTCTGATAGGAAAGTGAATCTAGTTGGTACTTTGGGGGGTCAAAAGTATAAATTTCCCAGTAGTTTTCACAAGCGCCGGGAAAAAACAACATAAAAATTAAGGAAAAACGGGAATTTTTACGCAAAATTGGTTTTCCAAAAAATCGATTTTGGTTTTTGGTGTAACTCTAAAACAAATGAACGTATATACATGAAATTTTCACTGGTTGTTTATATTTGCATTTTCTATACACGATAACATTTTCAAAATATTTTGATTTATTTTGAACTGTTTAGGGACATTTTCATTTTTCATTTTTTTTTAGTTTTTTTTCTAGAAATATCAATAAAATTTTATTTGTTGGTTGCGAAAGCTTGAAAATTTAATAGAAGGCTCCTAATATGTTGTTTCAAAGGCAGATGAAAAATATTAAAAATCCTTAGTCACAATTTTTTTTTATAAGCACTTAAAGTTCAAAAATTGACAAAATATGGAAAAATCACGAAAATTAGCAAATTATTTTGAATTAAGAATTCGTAAAAATTTTTCTTTTTAAATCTAAGATTTGAAAATTTAACACAATATTCCTTATAAGATTATCTACCTTTATCAAAAAAAAAAATGTCTATAAGAAAGTCAAATTAAATTTTTATGAGCGTTTGAAATTCAAATTTTTACAACATTGAATATTCACTCGATTTCCCATGTAGCGATTTCCTTAGTTTGTTGTAATTCAAAAACAAATAACTGTAGATACATGAAAATTTCACTGAATGTTTAAATTAGCATTTTCTATACACCATACAATTTTGAAAATATTTTGACTCTTTTTGAGCTGTTTATGGACATTTACAGCTTTCAATTTTTTTTAGTTTTTTTTTCTATAAATATCAATAAAGTTTTATCTGTTGGGCCAAAAAGTGTAAAAATTTAATACAAGGCTCCTGATATACTGTTACAATAGCAGTTGAAAAATATTAAAAATACATAGGCACAGTTTTTTTTTATAAGCATTTAAAGATCAAATTTTGACAAAATTTATCAAAATCTCGAAAATTATCAATCATTGAAATTAATAAATTATAAAATGTTCAGTTTTTATAGCTAAGGATTGCAAATTTAAAACAAAGGTTCTCATAAATAGTTCATACTGTAACCAAAAAATCTAAAAAATATATGAACACAGTTATTTTTTACAGACATTTTAAATTCAAATTTGGACGAAATTACATATTAAAAAACCTAGAATAACTATTTTAGTTATTTTGTTGTGATTGAATAATATTATTCGTGGGTACTTGAAACTTCTAAAGTGTACTATTATATATCTATGATAGTATCACGGTTTTGTTGATGTATAACGCGTTATAAGTACCTAATGGACATTGTGATATGATTAATTTGGAATTTATTATAGGTACCTATTAATTATTATAGGTCAATTTTTTGTTTAATACCATAGATATGTATATAATATGTCTTAAACATAGACTGACATACCGTCTCCGCTCAGAATCGTTTTTCTTATACAATGATATTATATCGTTGAATTCAAATTTAATATCATCCATTATACAGTGACCCACTTGTAACCTACTGTACAGCAGAGCGACACCCACTTGCCCACCTTTTTTTTTCCTTATATGTAGGTAGTAGGTACCATATTATATTATCTAATTTGTTGAATTAATATTGTTAATATCAAGTACCTACCTAATAAGTGTGATCAATTAATATCTTATTAATTATTTTTAGTAGTATCTAGCTGTTTGTGATTTGTTTTTTATAATTTTAAATATGGGTAGGTACACACAATATTTTTGCTATATATGCTTTATAGAACCATATATTTTTTACAATAGCTTTAATTAATATTTATAATAAAAAAAAGGTGGGCAAGTGGGTGTCGCTCTGCTGTACAGTAGGTTACAAGTGGGTCAATGTATAATAGATGGTATTAAATTTGAATTCAATGATATAATATCATTGACCATTGTATAAGAAAAACGATTTTGAGCGGAGACGGTATGTCAGTCTAGGTATAAGACATATTATATACTTATCTATGGTATTAAAAAAAATGACCTATAATAAATTCCAAATTAATCACATCACAATATCCATTAGGTACTTATAACGCGTTATACACCAACAACAAACCCTGATACTATCATAGATAATATTATATAGTACCTAGTATACTTTAGAAGTTTCAAGTACCTACCCACGAATAATATTATAGTCCAGTCAAATTAGGAAAAAGATCGGAAAAAATTCGCCCCCAACTGAATTTTGGTACACACTTAAAATGTACCTTCCCAATTGACATACTAAAAGTCCTGACGCCTAACCCCTGTGCGTACCTCTCCACCCCCCAAAAAGGGGTGAAATCTACCCTCCCACTATTTTTCTTATAACTCGTTAACCATTGAACTCACGACAAAAAAGTATAGGACCAAAATTAAAGACCGTAAAATTTACTATAAGAATATAATATTGTTATCACTACAATTTTAACGTGGTAGTTTTAAGTAAACTTTTTTTTTAAAAAAACTGAATTTTTTTTAAAAAATTTTTTTTTTAATTTTTTTTTAGCCAAAATTTATAGTTTTAAACCAAAATGACCTATAAGAAAAATGATAGCCCTTTGTTTTTACATAATATACTTTTTTTTATTTTTTTTTATATTCATTACCATAAGATTTAAGGTGGTTGTTATGTACGATGCGGCGGTGTTATATCTGTACGGTTGATAATACGAACCAAGTTCGAACATAATGTAAAAATTCACCGAAAGCTGAATATTGGCATACACCTACTATATACTTCATTAATGATCATACTTAAAGTTCTGACGCTTACCCTTCGTGCTTACCCTTCTAACCCCCCCCCCCTGCATTCAAAAGGGTGGTTTTACAATGTTTTTACTTATAAATCACTAGGTATCCTTGGAACTGACGACCCAAATATATAGAACTAAAATTAAAGACTATTACATTTACCATAATATTATAATATTTTGCATACTTAAATGTTTACAAGATAAGTTCAGTTATAAATACAACTTTTATGAAATGTCTTTACAGTTACAATATGTTTATTTACAATATTATTATTTATTAGATTATTATACTAGTAGGTACCATATTATTTACACTAAGTACCAACATTTTTATTTTATTTGGTTCCGGGTGAATGTTGTTTTGTCTGTAACCGAAAAAAAAATTGAACGTTATTTAGTATTATAGTTTACAATTATTATATAAATAAAATAAAAATAAAATAAAATAAATAAAATAAATAAAATATATATAAATTTAAAGTAAATTCATACCTAATTAATTAAGTGGTGCAGTTTTGCACAGCTGTCTTTTTGCATATGTATATATACCCATTTCTTCATCGGGTTATTCGTTGTCTTCGTCTATGCTAGTGGTCCATTGTCCATCTTTATACAACTCCACGTCGTCGTCGTCGTCATCATCACAAATTAGTTGCTGGTTTAAACACGATGTGCCTTGAAAATTTTTACATATTATGGAACATCTCATTCCCGCTTTTTTACAGCCACAATTTTTCTCGCATGATTTAGTGCAAGCACAACTTATAACCGATAGAAGGGAGTCTGTTGCTGGTGGTTTCTTTGTAAAGATCGGTATTATTTTTTTATCTACTTTTTCCCAGCCCCAGTCTAACGGATTAAGTATTTTCCCACGCCAAAGTTGTACTTGTAAGTAAACCCTAAACAAATGCTGCTTTGCTAAATCGACAGTTGGAGGGAGTCGAGAAAGTTTGATTTCTTTTTTGCTGGAAGCCCCTGTTTTTCGGAATACATCATACCTGTGACAATTCAATGTATTAGTGTTTGCTGGTACTTTAAATAATTTTAACAAGTACTTTTCTCCCGCACGCAAAATTTCCTCATGTGTAGCTGATTCATTGTTAAAAACTAATAATGAATCGTGTAGTTCTGGATGTGCTTGAACTGTTTTTAAATGTTTAATTTTCCCTTGCTGAAAGATAGCTGAACCCACCAATTGCATGTACAAACAAAAAATAAGGAAGTTCAACTTTAAATTGTAGCCGTAAATGTTTTATAGAGTATGATCTAGTTTCCGTACTTCCTTTGCCTAGTTTTTTAAAAAAAAATCTGCGAATCATCTGGAGTTAACGTCAATAAAAGTATGATCAAATCTACGTCCTCTCCAATGACCACAACTTTTGTGTTATAATTTGATTTTTGTATTGCCGTATGTACAATAAGTGTGTCAGCATCGTCTTCTGCTTGTAATACGTAAATACCTGACTTCAATAATTTCCCTGTCAACATTGATATCAGCCTCAACTTATTTTTGTCATTTGATAGAAATGATTCTTGCGAAATAGTTATGTCCATCGTCTCTTCGATCAATATCCAAGGATAGTGATTTATAAGTAAAAGCATTGTAAAACCACCCTTTTGAAGGCGGGGGTGGGAGGGGTTAGAAGGATAAGCACGAAGGGTAAGCGTCAGAACTTCAAGTAAAACTTCAAGACAAAACAACATTCACCCGGAACCAAATAAAATAAAAATGTTGGTACTTAGTGTAAATAATATGGTACCTACTATTATAATAATCTAATAAATAATAATATTGTAAATAAACATATTGTAACTGTAAAGACATTTCATAAAAGTTGTATTTATAACTGAACTTATCTTGTAAACATTTAAGTATGCAAAATATTATAATATTATGGTAAATGTAATAGTCTTTAATTTTAGTTCTATATATTTGGGTCGTCAGTTCCAAGGATACCTAGTGATTTATAAGTAAAAACATTGTAAAACCACCCTTTTGAAGGCAGGGGGGGGGGTTTAGAAGGGTAAGCACGAAGGGTAAGCGTCAGAACTTTAAGTATGATCATTAATGAAGTATATAGTAGGTGTATGCCAATATTCAGCTTTCGGTGAATTTTTACATTATGTTCGAACTTGGTTCGTATTATCAACCGTACAGATATAACACCGCCGCATCGTACATAACAACCACCTTAAATCTTATGGTAATGAATATAAAAAAAATAAAAAAAAGTATATTATGTAAAAAAAAAGGGCTATCATTTTTCTTATAGGTCATTTTGGTTTAAAACTATAAATTTTGGCTAAAAAAAAATTTAAAAAAAATTCAGTTTTTTTTAAAAAAAAGTTTACTTAAAACTACCACGTTAAAATTGTAGTGATAACAATATTATATTCTTATAGTAAATTTTACGGTCTTTAATTTTGGTCCTATACTTTTTTGTCGTGAGTTCAATGGTTAACGAGTTATAAGAAAAATAGTGGGAGGGTAGATTTCACCCCTTTTTGGGGGGGTGGAGAGATACGCACAGGGGTTAGGCGTCAGGACTTTTAGTATGTCAATTGGGAAGGTACATTTTAAGTGTGTACCAAAATTCAGTTGGGGGCGAATTTTTTCCGATCTTTGTTGGTTTTTGATCTAATTTGACTGGACTATTATACAATCACAACAAAATAACTAAAATAGTTATTCTATAGTTACAGTATGAACTATTTATGAGAACCTTTGTTTTAAATTTGTAATCCTTAGCTATAAAAACTGAACATTTTATAATTTATTAATTACAATGATTGATAATTTTGCTAACTGTTGTCAAAATTTGATCTTTAAATGCTTATAAAAAAAAAATTGTGCCTATGTATTTTTAATTTTTTTCAATTGCTATTGTAACAATATATCAGAAACCTTGTATTAAATTTTTACATTTTTTGGCCCAACAGATAAAACTTAATTGATATTTATAAAAAAAAAAACTAAAAAATTTGAAACCTGTAAATGTCAATAAACAGCTAAAAAAGAGTCAAAATATTTTCGAAATTGTATGGTGTATAGGAAATGCTAATATAAACATTCAGTGAAATTTTCATGTATCTACAGTTATTCGTTTTTGAATTACAACAAAATAAGGAAATCGCTACATGAGAAATCGAGTGAATATCCAATGTTGTAAAAAATTGAATTTCAAACGCTCATAAAAATTTAATTTGATTTTCTTATAGACATTTTTTTTTTGATAAAGGTAGATCATTTTTTAAGGAATCTTGCATTCCATTTTAAAATCCTAGATTTAAAAAGAAAAAATTTTACGAATTCTTAACTCAAAATAATTTGCTAATTTTAGTGATTTTTCCATATTTTGTCATTTTTTGAACTCTAAATCAGAGACGGATTTACACAATTGCCGCCCCTAGGCAATTTTTTTTTTGCCGCCCCATTAAACTTATCAACGAGAAAACGAATTTTTAAATACTCATTTAACATAAGTAGGTACTAAAAAAAAAATCATAAAGACTGATGAACTCAACTAAACAATAATTAATGGCAGTTATGTTAATAAACTGTTCTAATAAAATGTGTTTATAAAATATAGTGTTTATTTACCAGTAATTTAAGTAGTAAACTAATAACCAAATATGAAGTCTATCCGCCTTGAATATGTTGTGTTGAAAATAATCGAATGTCTAATCAGAATAAACCTATTTTTTATTCGGCCGGCCTCTATTTCATAGACTCATAGTTCCGAAGAAAAATTAATAATTATTACATAATTTTATCTTTTGGATAGAAAAAGTTTTATTTTTGTACACATAATGCATAGTACGTACGAGTATATTATATAAAAATATTCACACTTCACAGTAACTGGTTTATAATTAGACTATCGTTCCAATACGAATCGATCGTCACCCTTAATCCTTATTCGTATTAAATATATCATATCTGTATGTATTGTAATTGTGCATTTGTGCGTGTAGTGTGTGTACTGTGTACGCGATCAAACGAACTTATTAATAATTATTACGACTTAGCAAAAAAACAAATTAACGAAATATGTTATCCATGTTTAGTACCTATTTAGATAATAGATCTACGTTCCGGCAGTCGTTAGATAATTTACTTGGACGTTTATTGTTTTGTATTATAAAATAAAGAAGAAATTATATTAACAAGAATATTATTATACTTAAATATTAAACATTTTTTTCCATCCTTCAGAGTAATCACCGTACATTAGAAAATCAAAAAGAAACTTAGAGTATTCTTAATAAAATATTGACCTAAAATTGCCGCCCCTAAAAATTTGCCGCCCTAGGCAACTGCCTACTTTGCCTGACGCTAAATCCGCCACTGCTCTAAATGCTTATAAAAAAAAAAAACAGTGACTAAGGATTCTATTAAATTTTCAAGCGTTTTTAACCAACAAATAAAATTTTATTGATATTTATAGAAAAAAAAACTAAAAAAAATGAATACTGAAAATGTCCGAAAATATTTTTTAAATGTTATTAGTATATTCATGTCATAGGGTGTTACCACTGGGTATCTTCCCTAATCTAACTACTCATATCATATTTTTACCTTTCTTATATCAAACCTACTTATTGTACAAAAAGCATGTATAGATTGTAGATTTCTTCAAATAAATAAAAAAAAAAAAAAATGTTATTAGTTTATAGAAAATGCTAATTATAAACATTCAGTCAAAATGTATCTACTGTAATTTGTTTTAGAGTTACACCGAAAACCATAATCAATTTAAAAATTCATGTTTCTCCTTGATTTTTTTTTGTTTTTCAAGGCACTTTTAAAACTATTGGAAAATAACATACAGAGATAACATACAGAGAGGGGGTAGTACTGAAATATATGCTGGCCATCAAGGTTTATGAATTTTCACAACACTACTGCTTCAAAGTACCAACTAGTAAGATTCACTTTCCTATCAGAAAAGATACTTTTGAAAAAAATCTAAGCACTTTACTGTCCTAAATGGCGATGACCCCAAAAATAAAAAAAGGAGAATTTGATTTTGGTTTTTGGTATATGACATTTATACTGGTTGATAATATTGGCATTTTCTATAGGTACATAATTATCAAAATATTTTCATTTGTTTCAAACTGTTTACGGACATTTTCAATTTTCAATATTTTTAATTTTTTTTCCTATAAATGTCAATAAAATTGTATGTGTGAAAAATCAATACTAAGATTGAAAGATCATGATATATTGTTACGATAGTAGTTGAAAAATATTAAAAATACATGGGCAAATTTGTTTTGTATAAGCATATAAAGCAGTTGGACAACCTTTATCAAATGTAAAAATGATTTTGTACTTAAAAATATATAAAATGTTCAACTTTTATAGCTAACTGCTAAGGATTGAATATTTAAATGAAGGTTGCATGTAAGTAGGTTATTCTATAACCAAAAAATCCCAAAAATATAAGAACACAGTTTTTTTTTATAGTTATAATATTATGTTCAAATTTTGACGAAATTACATATTAAATAACCAAAAATAACGATTTTAGTATATAATTGGTTTGAAATCTTGCCTTTAAAATAATTTAAACTCAATATTAGTAATACTATTGACTATAGATGGTATCGTACTACGCATAATTAATGACAATAGTCATTAGAATAGCATAACTCATAAACTAAATCAAAACTTAAATATACCTAAAATATAATAGAGTTGTGAAGATAGTGTTTTGAAAACTAAAACTAATAAATTGAACAGATAATTAAAATAAGTATTAAAATTAAAAACAGCAAATTATTATAATACACAGGTCGGCACGTGCAAATTTTATATAGGTATGTGTTATTGTTAATATAAAATAATATGATCAAACAAAACCATATTTGATTGATACAAAGCTACAGTAAAGAGTTTTACAACTATAACAATACAGTTATTATGGTTAGGTCAAAAATAAATGTTTCACAAAAAAAAAAAATGTTTAATATAACACATTACACATATAGTAAAATATTTTTATGGTAAATATATATACTAAAATGGGAAGTTTTGAGCAATACATGTAATTTAATACGAGACAAATTTTGAGTTGTCTACAGATATAAGACAAATATGTATTTTAAATTTTAACATAATTAATAATAGAATATACTATTGTATAAGTCATAAATGGAGTAAAGTACATATTATTAAGTTGCTCACAATTTTAAAATTTGTCAGAGTATAAATAATTACACAATAATAGTGATAAAAATATACAATTGATGGAGTATTGTAGTAAATGAATTAAAAATACTATTATTATTTGTATTTATTAAAGAAATGATAATAAAAATTACTATATTTCAACCAAAATAATTTTTAATTAACTCGAATCAAAAGTAGTCGCATTGTTACATATCAAAAATACAAGTGTTACGCATTACACATATACCTAAATAAATAAATATATTCCCCTAATGAATATTTATTGTTAATCTAAAATATAACAAGGTAACAAACCAAGGTTTTATTTCATTAAACACAATTAAAAAAAAAAAATTGAAATTAAATTGAAAGCTCATTAACATAAAATAACAAAAACAAAAAACACATAAAATGTTATATATTA